TCCTGCAAAAACGGTGGCTATAGAGTTTTGGGGGGTGGGGAAATAGGATAGGTAGAGAAGGAAATTTTTAGAAGTAACTGTAAAGTGAAAAAATTTAGTTGAATTTGCTTCCCGTGGCCGCTGGGAGTAAGTTGTTCCGCATGTAACTTGAAGGTGTGCGTGGCGCTTTGCGCCGCGGACTATACTAATCTTAATCCAGTACGGTAATTTGGACCTCAGGTAAGTTGAAGTAGACTACCTTCTAACCTTCTACCTTCTACCTTCCGCAATAATTTAAATGATAATACATACTAGGAAAATCTACAGATATAAATCAACAACACTTCAAAATACAGTAAAATAAAATGCACTTAGCATTTATTAAAGTACATTCCACTGCTTATCCTAATTCTTCACCCATAAAATCTTTAACCACCGTTTTCGTAGGGCAACATGCAGCCAGTAGAGATTGATAAGTGGGCCTACATAAGCTACTGTTGCCCTCCCGTTTTAGTAAGCTGATAAATTCCATAGCATGGTACTTCTTATTTTTTAGACCGGAAAGCAGACGTTTTAGAAACCAGTAGTTCACATGTGTTTGACTTCTGTAGACTATTCGACTGAAAGTACATTCCGCGGCGAGCAATCTACTGTAATAGAACTGGAAAAGACCACTTTCTAGGAGAAGGTAAGAGAGTTTTAGGTACATAATGAACTAAGTTAATTAAAATGCATCTGCGGGAGAAACCGCGTCAAGTACCTGTATACTCCTGAAGGCACTAGAGGCCTTGTCTATTTGTTTCGAATAATAAACATTTTTTATGGGCTACGGTTCAGTTTACATTAGAATTGAAGCTTTAATCAGAAATAATTCATATCACCATATAATGTCCTAATGGGAATTTGATATTGTTGATTTACGAATCAGAGGAAAAGGTCCTGGAATAAAATGGTTTGCATTCGACGACAGTGAGTGCTTTTTCGAACATATTACAGCACAAAGTACATTCAGTATATTAAATTTCCAACCTGCTGTAAATGCGTTCCATTAACCCAAAAAACAGCAGCTAAAGCATAAATTTTTTATTTCGCTCTAGAACGTGAACTTTCAGATGCTAACTTCTTGAGCGTTCTATAAATATTTCAGGGATTCTTTACGAAATTATATCCCAAGAGCCGAATATAAAGACGAACTTAGGTTTGAACATTCAGTCCGTTATGTCGAAGTTTTAAATCGTTCACGTCTAAATTAGCGGAAATAATAAATCCAGAGGGGAGAGCATATTAGATTTCAGAAACATTTTTCTGATACTGTGAGCATTAGCATCACGTACGAGTAAAAATACAAAGCAGCAAAACCTCATGGTTACGAAATTGCGCACTAAGAATCCTGCTCACGCGAATCTTTCAGTGGAAAGACCTAATTACGAGATGTCGACCTCGTAGCTTACACCCCTTCCCCCCAGTAACATGTGACACATCTCTGTTTACGATGAGTGGTCCTTAAATCAATTACGCCACTTAACGGCAGACTGCTGCTTTGCATTGTCTTCACACTTCTCGGAATCAAATATTGCAGCTAATGGGGTGTGAGTCGGCACAGAACGCTTTGGTATTGAGAGTTCTACTGACTTTGCCTGACTTGCGGCACCATAGGAGCTCTTGGTAGAACAAGGCTCGTAGCGATTGGCTAGTTGGAAATCTTATAAAGTCTACGTTTTTTTGTATACGACGTCCTCTCTCGGTCGATCGTTTCATTCACAAGGTTCAAACAACATGCCGCAAAAGTACCCTGCAAGATGCGGTAAGCAGAGAATTGTATTCCGTCTTAAGAAAGGCAGCTTCATAACAGAAGCAATTTGAAAAATTGCCTTTTTTGAGTCGCTCGACCTATAAAGTCCATCCATTTCGAGTTTGCAAGATGCGCCAAGAATCTTGCGCTTGAACCATTGCAGTTTAATGCTTAATAAGACACGCCTGTGAGGATTCTGCAAGTAACTAATATAACTGCTTTAGTGACTTAGTGTATAAAGTGTTGTTTAAAAGCTTTTCCGTTTTGTTGAGTCAGATGTTGGGGACTTAGGAGAATGCACTGAAATGTGTTTGATGGTCATTTAACACCGAGGTTTCGGATCATTTCAATAGAAAAAGATAAATCCATAACATGTTTGTCCATTTTTTTGTAGAGGAAGAATGCCGATGCCCTCAAAAGAGCAAAAAGGACTATAAGAAAGGTTGGTGTTTTCTAGTTTATAATGAAAAACTGACGAGGTGTAAAGCTTCAAGTTCCTCCAGTTAAACGTGCATTTTTGCTATATCTACAGGCAAGAAGCAGTATCCAGCTCCCGAGCCTTCGAAGCGCTACGAATGCGGTGAGGCCTGTGTTACATACTATTTGAAAACTTAGACTATGTTAGGGCAGCCGATGGTCCATTAAAATATTCCTTTTTTAGATGAGGAGGAGCTCTCAGAATGCGAAGAGGAGTGCTGCGAATCGTCAGATGATGGTGAGGAGAAAATCATGGTTGAACGCTACTGGAAGCATGAGCCCCAAGGTGATTTCAATGTCTGCATAAGGTTTAAGTATACCTAAAAAAACTAGGATCAATTTTTTTGAGCAATTGCCTCGGCCAAGTAGATCGTTTTGCAAAATGATTCTAACTCATTGAAACTGCAACCTGAGGTGTATGGAGAGTTTGCACTTATGCTTGTGACTTTACCTTGTTACAAAATTTTAGGTAAGGGCGGATTCGGGCCAGACTGTGGTGAAGAAAAGATAGTTATATCTCGTCTCTGGAAGAAGAAGGGCAACCGTGAGTTTTATTTGTACATGAAGCCATACTATTTTGGTATGAGTTTAAATTTACACAGATTCCTGCGAAAAATAATGCATTGTATGCTCAACTTCTTCCAAAGTTTCGTTTTTTTACACAAAAAGCCACAACTGGAGCTGGTAGTGCTGCTGAATGTGATCGCATCAAAGGACGGAAGCGTGAGTGAAAAATTACTTATAGTAGCTAGAAATATTGTTGTCTTTGAATCAAGGTAAATCCATGACCTTTCCCAATAATAGCTACAGATCGCGAAGACGATGCCTCCGCTTCGTCATCATCTTCGTCCTCCTCAAGCAGTTCGTCATCTTCATCTTCTTCATCGGACTCAGACTCGGACGAAGAGGAGATTATAGAGAGCTACTGCCGCAAACTTAAGCGAGGTAAGCTAACAATATTTTATTAGTAATGTCGCCTTTTTATATTATTGCATAACTCTTAACTGCTGTTTTTAAATATTAATCCATCTTCTAGAAGGAATACGTGGTAAATCACTGTCTATGCTTAGGTTTACGGTTGTTGTTTAAAGAAAAATCAATTGTTGCAATTTCTACCGATTTATGTCAATGACAAAACAAATAACAGAGGAACTACTTTGCTCGTTCGGTAACCTGAACTTTTTGGGTATAGCAAAACAATAAAACATGTCAGGTCTTTCGTTCAAGGTATTACCTTCGGCGACTCCAGTTACTTTTATACTATAAATATAACTTTAATGGCTCAATAGGGGCTTCTTAACTTTTAAATAAGAATTATTTTTCCTTTTAATGGGCACTTCCATCAAAATATTCTTTGAATTGCTTAAGAATGTTTTAACCTGTATATATAAACATTAGTTAAAATTTTATATCTAGGATTTTATACTGAAATGATAGAAGCTTAGTAAATTGTACCTAATGATTCCTATACGCATAGACAACGCGATTCTTCTTGTCTTTTAGGTCGATCTCATTCACAAAAGCGCCAGGAAAAGTCCGGCCGAAAGCCTTCAAAAGGTATCCATTTGAGTATTTTCGCTCCATAGGATACTTCCGATTATTCTGGTCTAAAGTAGTCTAAATAGAATTGTCATTATTTCTCAATAGGTACCTTTTAATGTTTATATAATATTATTATTTCCTGTTAACGGAAACGTCCATCGCCATAGACTTTAACTGTTTGGACTATTTCTACACACGTATATGCAGTTATAAAGTAGAATGTTATGTGGAGGTATGTTTACGTGTTTATACTGAAATATAAAATAGTAATAAAGCGTACCTAGTGATTTATATGCACATACTTATCGCAACTGTTGATTACTTTTAGATCGATCCCATTCAAGAGATCGGCAGCAAAAGTCTAGCCAAAAGTATTCGAAAGGTATCCATTTGAGTGTTTCATCCCCAATGTCTGTATAGAGATACTTCCAATTATTCTGGTCTAAAGTAGTCTAAATAGAATAAGTATGATTTCTCAAAAGGTACTTCTTATCGCTTACATAATAAATATTATTTCCTGTTAACGAAAACGTCCATTACCACAGACTTCAAACTACTTGAGACTATTTCTACACACAAATATGTATTTCCAAAGTAGAATATTGTATGGAAGTTTGTAAATGGTTTTTTTTACTAAAATAGAAAACGGTAATAAAGGTTACCTAGTAATTTACATGTGCATAGTTAACGCGATTATTCCTTACTTTTAGATCGATCTCAGTCAGGAGATCGGCAGAAAAAGTTTGACCGAAAGCCTTCAAAAGGTATCCATTAGAGTAGTTTCTTCCCAGTGCTTTCATAGCAGTACTTCAATTTCTTCTTTCCTTATACAGTTGTTATGCTTGACTGTAATCCGTTCATATTGTAGGCAAGACAAGTTCACCAAAGCCGAGGCGAGGCAAGTTCTAATAACAACTATTCCATAAGCGCTAGCGAATGACAGAAAACGCCTAATCCTGCTTCCCGCCAGTCTTGTGCTTTTACAATGCGCGCAGCACCTTAGCTATAGCGACTGAACAAAGGAGGTCTCAGGACTGACCGCTTGCCTAAGCAACGCTTTTTCAGCTGCTATTCAGCAGGCAAAAGCAGGCTAATTTACCAAAAGTGCCTCAGTCTAAATATTGTGTTTTTTGTTGTTTATAGGCCAAGTTTGCGTTAGGTGTGCAGAACAATATTAGCCCGTTTCAAGTCATCTGTGAAAGGCAAAGAACTTCGAAGAAATTCGCCAGTCTGACAGCCATTTCGTGCAAATGATAACATATTTACTGATAAATGGTTTTGTGAGACGATCCTTTTTTGAATATAAATTAAATAAATTGGAACTACATTGGAGTGGGTAGCGGGCCTTCTATCAGCACTTCCCATCATTCAGGTTACCCCGTCAGCATTAAAAGTGCGTAGTATTTAGAAAAAGACTTTTCGATCTTTTATTCATGCCCTAATAGACCCAAAAGGTCCTTAAAGTAACCGGCAATACGCTGCCAATGTTTAATTTTTTAGACCCATCATGTCCGAAGTGTTTAAAAGGTTTGTTTACATACCTTTGATCTACTAAATTAATTATTCCAGTTTGGTTGAACTGGTTTTTGCCATAAGATTTATCGAACACTGCAATAAACAAAGCATCAAAGGTAGTTTTTTGGGCAAAGGAAAGATACAGTTAAAAAGGATTTTTCCATTTCACAATTGGCATTTATTTTTTTAGAAAGGAAATCCGCGCTACGCAAGGCCGGATATTGTAAGTGGAGCAGAGTTTTCATCTGAAAGTTTTCTGAACTGGTTTGCTGGGCTTTTTGATTTTGACACTTCATATATTGTCTTTTGAATATTGCCATCTGTTTACAATTTTAGGTTGATAATTCCACCTCCCAGAAAGAATTATTGCCAACCTTTGGAGAAATACTGTCGTTTAGTCTTATTTGTCCTCCAGTTTGAAAATAAAATAATGCAACAAAATATTGTGCTTTCACTTCTTTTGAACAGAGTTTACTTGGTCAGATATGTAAGACGTATTGTGTTCAGAATATTTTCGAAAAGCGTTTCTACAGTAACCGCACCTTTGCAGGTTTTAGGAAGCACACAATGCAAAATTCAGTCAGAGGGCTAGGTGCTAGAGGTAAAGTTTGTAGTTTTGGATTTCATCCACTAAACGGTGGCTTAAAATGGAAATAGAAAATTGAAATCAATGAAATAGACAGGAGCAATATATCGGTGGGGCATTTGATAACCGAATTGAATGACGTAATGAAAATTGCTTGATCTTTCTTCTTGTTTATCCTTCTGTTAGTCAGAAGATTAAAGAGCTAGAAATGAGTTTCCTTAAAATTGTGTATAATTTACACTGACGCGAACATTCTGAAGTTCATGCTGACACAGAGAAGGGATGCAACTGAAATCTGTCTTCATATGCGATAGTTTGGGTGATCAAATGAAATAAGTACAGTCGCCATAAATATCGCGAGATTTAAATTAATTTACACTGGAGTCAATCAAAATGACGTTTTGACACAGGTAGCTTCGCCAAAAAAAGGCAAAACAGTGCCGTTTCGACTTTTTTTACATAGGCGTCGCCAGTTGCAAAAAGCCCTAGAGTCTGCCAAAACACTAATTCCTTCTGATCACATGACAAATATGGTTGGTAAAACCAGTAAAATCTAGCGCTGTATTATCTTAGGAATACGGAAGAAGCCGTTAATATATTTCCAGTGCAAAATTAGAGAACTAGATATGGGAAAACCTGATTTAAAGGACCTAAGAAAGAAGGACAGGGCTGCATCAGGCGAAAGTACTCAACTGCAAACACATCCTCTGCATGCATTTGGACAGAAAACGAAAAAGAGTCAGACTAAAATATAGCCATAATTGCTATTTAGTGTCGTTGGTAAGAAGTCTACATATGGTGACCGATACTTTCGACAGTATGATCGTACGACTCTCCTCGAAACATGATAGTTAAGCTGACGGTTGGGTATATAGCCATAAGTAATATATTTGGAAGTATGCTGATGTTACGTTTTTGTAATTTTTTGCGCGCCCGCAATTAAAAGACAAAAAAGAAAACTTATAATCTTTGGACAATGAAAATACTATTACATAGCATACTCATATTGTAAAAGTTTCAATCACCACGGTACATTATCATATGAGCAAGTTCGAGCTCATCAACGATTCGTGGCTTAGTAGAAAATGCCGAGTTTATACATGTGCCCATTAACACAGCACCGATTTTGCAAGAACTGTTCCTGTAGGCATCATAAATAATATTCCACGAGGACGTTGAAGTCTTTTTGGAAGTTGTCGCCTTAGCGAGGTAGGGTGTGGTCTGGAGTTGATTTCAGGGGTCGGATACATTCCAGTCCACTTACCGTCCAGAACCACAGAATGTACCTTTGGATGTTAACACTAATAGCAACGTTTGGTGCTTACCAATATCTTAGACCTACAGTAGCCGTCGAAGACCATGCAACGCTTATTATGCAATTTGCATGGACACTTTGGCATATATTTGAAAACACCATTGTGATTCATTTAGTTTATTGAATTCTGCAAAAGCCTTTTACTTAGTTAA